TGTATGATCTCCCCCTGTTCTATAGAGTGAGTGAGTCGAGTTTGTATGATCTCCCCCTGTTCTACAGAGTGAGTGGAGTTTGTATGATCTCCCCCTGTTCTACAGAGTGAGTGAGTGGAGTTTGTATGATCTCCCCCTGTTCTACAGAGTGAGTGAGTGGAGTTTGTATGATCTCCCCCTGTTCTACAGAGTGAGTGAGTGGAGTTTGTGTGATCTCCTCTTGTTCTACACAGTGAGTGGAGTTTGTATGATCTCCCCTTGTTCTACACAGTGAGTGAGTGGAGTTTGTATGATCTCCCCTTGTTCTACACAGTGAGTGAGTGGAGTTTGTATGATCTCCTCTTGTTTTACACAGTGAGTGGAGTTTGTATGATCTCCCCCTGTTCTATAGAGTGAGTGAGTCGAGTTTGTATGATCTCCCCCTGTTCTACAGAGTGAATAAGTGGAGTATGTAGGATTTCCCCCTGTACTACAGATTGAGTGAGTAGAGTTTGTTGGATATCCCCCTGTTCTACAGAGTGAGTGAGTGGAGTTTGTATGCTCTCCCCTTGTTCTACACAGTGAGTGAGTGGAGTTTGTATGATCTCCCCTTGTTCTACACAGTGAGTGAGTGGAGTTTGTATGATCTCCCCCTGTTCTATAGAGTGAGTGAGTCGAGTTTGTATGAGCTCTCCCTGTTCTACAGAGTGAGTGAAGTTTGTATGATCTCTCCCTGTACTACAGATTGAGTGAGTAGAGTTTTTTGAATATCCCCCTGTTCTACAGAGTGAGTGGAGTTTGTATGGTCTCCCCCTGTTCTACAGAGTGAGTGAGTGGAGTTTGTGTGATCTCCTCTTGTTCTACACAGTGAGTGGAGTTTGTATGATCTCCCCTTGTTCTACACAGTGAGTGAGTGGAGTTTGTATGATCTCCCCTTGTTCTACACAGTGAGTGAGTGGAGTTTGTATGATCTCCTCTTGTTTTACACAGTGAGTGGAGTTTGTATGATCTCCCCCTGTTCTATAGAGTGAGTGAGTCGAGTTTGTATGATCTCCCCCTGTTCTACAGAGTGAGTGGAGTTTGTATGATCTCCCCCTGTTCTACAGAGTGAGTGAGTGGAGTTTGTATGATCTCCCCCTGTTCTACAGAGTGAGTGAGTGGAGTTTGTATGATCTCCCCCTGTTCTACAGAGTGAGTGAGTGGAGTTTGTGTGATCTCCTCTTGTTCTACACAGTGAGTGGAGTTTGTATGATCTCCCCTTGTTCTACACAGTGAGTGAGTGGAGTTTGTATGATCTCCCCTTGTTCTACACAGTGAGTGAGTGGAGTTTGTATGATCTCCTCTTGTTTTACACAGTGAGTGGAGTTTGTATGATCTCCCCCTGTTCTATAGAGTGAGTGAGTCGAGTTTGTATGATCTCCCCCTGTTCTACAGAGTGAATAAGTGGAGTATGTAGGATTTCCCCCTGTACTACAGATTGAGTGAGTAGAGTTTGTTGGATATCCCCCTGTTCTACAGAGTGAGTGAGTGGAGTTTGTATGCTCTCCCCTTGTTCTACACAGTGAGTGAGTGGAGTTTGTATGATCTCCCCTTGTTCTACACAGTGAGTGAGTGGAGTTTGTATGATCTCCCCCTGTTCTATAGAGTGAGTGAGTCGAGTTTGTATGAGCTCTCCCTGTTCTACAGAGTGAGTGAAGTTTGTATGATCTCTCCCTGTACTACAGATTGAGTGAGTAGAGTTTTTTGAATATCCCCCTGTTCTACAGAGTGAGTGGAGTTTGTATGGTCTCCCCCTGTTCTACAGAGTGAGTGAGTGGAGTTTGTTTGATCTCCCCCTGTTCTACAGAGTGAGTGAGTGGGACAGCGAGACACAGAGACAGGGAGATCACGGGGTCAGAGTTGAGACAAGGCAACGAAACTCGCTCCGTTAAGCACGGAATTCCTTCCTTAATGTCAACCATCTGTACGGACACGTGTGTGTGTGTGTCTGTGTGTGTGTGTGGGTGTTTGTGTCTTTGCCTGTCTGTATGTTTGTGTGTTGGCATCAGCCACTCATCTCAGTCAGTCGACCCGTGGCACCTGCTGGGTCTGCCCCGTGACCTTCTGCCAGCGGGCGTTCGACACATCGCGTGGCCTCAAGGTGCACCTAGCCTGGCACGAGCGTCGTGGTGACGTCACCGCCACTTAGCGGCGAATGCGGTTGTTGTTGTGTTGGCATAGTAGGGGGGTACATCCGGTGCATCTGCCAGTCATCTCAGTCAGTCAACCCACGGCACCTGTAGGGTCTGTCCAGTGACCTCCTCCTGCACCTAGCCTGGCACGGCAGTCAACCCATGGCACCTGCAGGGTCTGTCCCGTGACCTCCTCCTGCACCTAGCCTGGCACGGCAGTCAACCCATGGCACCTGCAGGGTCTGTCCCGTGACCTCCTCCTGCACCTAGCCTGGCAGAGACCCCAGTTCGATTCCCGCCCACGGCCAACACCAGTGATAGCGATTATGGGAACCGGTCCTAGACCTCCCCTAGGTCGGCTCAGCCTTAAATGAGTACCTGGGACGGTTTGTACTAAACATCGCGACCGGGAAGACAAAGGCGGCCGGGAGTGGTGCTGACAACCCACGCCCTCGTGTTCCGTGCCGGCTTTCATCGGTGCTCGCTAACAGCACTTGCCCCTACAGCCTGTAAGAGGCTACGCGGGGGACCTTTGCCTGTGTCTCCTTCATAGGAATTGCTGCTGCTCGCTACTCACAGCACTTGCCCCTACAGCCTGTTAGAGGCTACGCGGGGGACCTTTGTCTCTATCTCCTTCATAGGAATTGCTGCTGCTCGCTACTCACAGCACTTGCCCCTCCAGCCTGTTAGAGGCTACACGGGGGACCTTTGTCTGTGTCTCCTTCATAGGCATTGCTGCTGCTGCTTGCTACTAGCAGCACTTGCCCCTACAGCCTGTTAGAGGCTACACGGGGGACCTTTGTCTCTGGTCACCATGCTTCTTTCTCGAGACACGAGAGACGTCGTCGTGATCAGCGTGGGGTTCCTCTTCCTATTCACCGCCTTCAACGCCCTCCAGAATCTACAGGTGAGGCTCTCACTCACTCACTCACCCACTCACTCATCCACTCACTCATCCACTCACTCACCCACTCACACATCCACTCACTCATCCACTCAATCACTCACTCATCCACTCACTCACTCACTCATCCACTCACTCACTCACTCACCCACCCACTCACTCATCCACTCACTCACTCACCCACCCACTCACTCATCCACTCACTCACTCACCCACTCACTCACTCACTCATCCACTCACTCACTCACTCATCCACTCACTCACTCACCCACTCACTCACTCACCCACCCACTCACTCATCCACTCACTCACTCATCCACTCACTCACTCACTCACCCACTCGCTCACCCACTCCCTCACTCACCCACTCACCCACTCACTCACTCACTCACCCACTCGCTCACCCACTCACTCGCTCACCCACTCACTCACTCATCCACTCATTCACTCACCCACTCACTCACTCACCCACTCACTCACTCACCGACTTAGCCACCTACCCACTGACTCACCCACCCACCTAACCCCCACCCACTCAATCAACAAGCGCCATTCGCCACTAAGTGACGGTGACGTCACCACGGCGCTTGTGCCAGGCTAGGTGCATGTTGAGGCCACGTGAAGTGTCGAATGCCCGCTGGCAGGAGGTCACGGGGCAGACCCAGTTGCCACGGGTCGACTGACTGAGATGACTGGCTGATGCACTACCTGTGCCCCCTACTGTGCCAACCTGCTGTGCTTTAGCCACCCGGCGCTCCGGTCGTTATTGTGAGCGTCACTCCTCTGCCCTCCGTTGTTGTTGGATAGCGACTGCATCCAACTGCCCAGTAGCAGCATCCTTGACGAGCCTCCTCCACAGAGGCCGATCTTGACACAGCTGGTAACAGTCATCGGCAAGTCCACTCAGCTCCACGTCCTCCTGTACCACATCACTCCATCTCTTCTCTAGCCCGTGCCGCGCCTGTTTAGCCCCCTCTATCCGGCCGAACAATAGCTGTTTACAGTGAGGGAAAAAAGTATTTGATCCCCTGCTGATTTTGTACGTTTTCCCACTGACAAAGAAATGATCAGTCTATAATTTTAATGGTAGGTTTCTTTGAACAGTGAGAGACAGAATAACAACAACAAAATCCAGAAAAACGCATGTCAAATATGTTATAAATTATATTATTAGTTTTTTCGGTAAAGTCACGTTGTTATTTTGTTGTTTCTCTTCAACGTGACTTTACCGAAAAAACTAAGAATATGAATTACTGCAGTCACGAAAGCTTTAAATCAAAATGTTATAAATTGTTTTGCATTTTAATGAGGGAAATGCGTATTTGACCCCTCTGCAAAACATGACTTAGTCCTTGGTGGCAAAACCCTTGTTGGCAATCACAGAGGTCAGACGTTTCTTGTAGTTGGCCACCAGGTTTGCACACATCTCAGGAGGAATTTTGTCCCATGCCTCTTTGCAGATCTTCTACAAGTCATTAAGGTTTCGAGGCTGACGTTTGGCGACTCGAACCTTCAGCTCCCTCCACAGATTTTCTAAGGGATTAAGGTCTGGAGACTGGCTAGGCCACTCCAGGACCTTAATGTGCTTCTTCTTGAGCCACTCCTTTGTTGCCTTGGCCATGTGTTTTGGGTCATTGTCATGCTGGAATACCCATCCACGACCCATTTTCAATGTCCTGGCCGAGGGAAGGAGGTTCTCACCCAAGATTTGACGGTACATGGCCCCGTCCATCGTCCCTTTGATGCGGTAAAGTTGCCCTGTCCCCTTAGCAGAAAAACACCCCCAAAGCATAATGTTTCCACCTCCATGTTTGACGGTGGGGATGGTGTTCTTGGGGTCATAGGCAGCATTCCTCCTCCTCCAAACACGGCGAGTTGAGTTGATGCCAAAGAGCTCCATTTTGGTCTCATCTGACCGCAACACTTTCACCCAGTTGTCCTCTGAATCATTCAGATGTTCATTGGCAAACTTCAGACGGGCATGTATATGTGCTTTCTTGAGCAGGGGGACACAAGCTTCACAAGCTTCCGTCTTCAGGTGGAACAATCACAGCAAGATCGTTGCATCACCTGATCACGTGATGCAGCGATCTTGCTGTGACTGTTCCACCTGAAGACGGAAGCTTGTGTTGGCTCCGAAACGTCGTGATTTAATTTAGTTTTTTCATTTTATTTTACCCACGTGACTTTACCGAAAAAAAAACAAAGAATATGAATCCTTGCAGTCACGAAAGCTTCAAATCTAGAATACTGAGGAGTCTTTGCGGTCCCCACCAGGGCAACCTTCCAATCCTGCGGAACCTGTCCAGTGGTCCAGACTGTTGTTATGTTGTCATGTAGGGCAGTCTGTGCACAAACGCGACCCTCCCTCAGCATTTCGCTTGGGAGATCATCTCTGCCCGCTGCCTTTCCTGGTCTCAGACTCTGGATCGCCTTCAGTACTTCCTCAACAGATGGCACCTCAGCCAGCCACTCACAGGGGGTGACTTCTTCCAATATTGGAGGCACAGCAGCCTCAGCAGGGTCATCCCCACTTTGCCCCATGATGTTTTACAGGCTGAGGGATTTCCCCTCCACCAAGACCTCACAGAAATGCTTAGCAAATCTGCAAACCTGTTCCTGGGGGTCGGAGATTGGATTGTTCTTTCCCCTAATGATGGTGACAGGTGTAGAACTATAAGTTACTTTTTTACGGAATTAAAGAGTGATTTGTGATCGCGGGCCACTGAGGCAGATTCCATCTCCTGAGAAACCCGTGACCACCACCCATCCTTGCAGCGCCTCACCGCTCTCTGAACCTCCGAGCAAAGGCTGCGGTAAGCCTCCTCATTCTCTGACGTAGGATGCTTTAGATGATGAGAGTGGGCCTGTCGCTTTTTCTCAACCATCCTGAACACCCTCTCTGTCAGCAAGGTTCTCTGGAGAGGTCTGGACCGTGTACCCAATGAAGTAATTGCAGCTGCATGAGTCACAGTCCTAAACCTCGCCTATTTCCCCTCGACATCAGGAGGAGTGGGGGATAATGGCAACCCCAGCTGCAAGCGATGATGAAATTATTGCTTGCAACTTTCATCAGCTAGCTGAGACCTGGCCACTATGGGTTTGAATGGGGTCCTGTGTGTACACCCACCACTAGAGAGGAAGAATGGCAGGCGCATCTTAAGATGACTAGTCGATGGTCAGAGGGCAGATCAGCTCCATGGTAGGTCCTGGTGTCAAGGAAATGGGCCGGCATCCGCTGGTCCGTCACTATGTAGTCCAGCAGATGTTCTTGCTTGGATCCAGCATGCGTCCATGACGTTGTGTGGATGCGCCGAACAGCGTGTTGGTAATTACAAGCCTATGGGCTGCACAAAAGTCTAGCAGCCTCCTACCGTTGTTATTGAGCTGATCTGGCCCATGCCTTCCAATCACTCCAGACCAGGTGCCAGCATCATGACCAACTCGGGCAATGAAGTCACCCAACAAGATGACTCTATCCCGAGGGGCCACTTTAGCTAGCACCTGTGACAGGAGGTCATAGAAGGCATCTGACTCATCGGCCTTGCCTGCATCCCTCCACTGATGTTCATGTTCGTTGGAGGCGTAAATAACCACGACCACCACTCCTCGCCTCTGGTTGATGGGAAGGCGAGCCCAAAGTAGCCTGGGACTTACAGCTTCCCACACCTCACCGCCACGCTCCCACGCCCCCTTTATTCTTTTGTTCAAAAGAAGACCCACACCCTGTTGTTTGGCAGCCTCCTGCCCCAAGTAGAGGACTGCCCACCCCTCATGGTGGCAGGAGCCAGAGCCGGTCCACCGGGCCTCCAGAATACCACATAGATCCAGGCGGTACCGGTCCAGCTCCCGACAGAGGAGTGGCAGCCTCTCTTCCGCAATGAGCATTCGAACATTCCACGTGGCCACCCGCAGTAGTTTTTTGTTGTTTCTGGAGGAGCCCCGAGGGTAAGGATTCAATCTCCTGGCTCCGCCAAATGGGGTTTGGCCACAAGACGACGGGGCCTCCGGCATAAGCTCCGTTAGATATATATATATTTTCGTGGTTCAGTGGTACTTAGATTGAAAGTGGAGGGGTTACCAGCCTCTCGCACCAGTCCAGAGCCCCCAATTTGGCCGCTGTGGTGGCTACAAACGCTGTTAGGGGCATGGCCCAATCTACATTGGCGCTCCCCTCATGGCACTGCTAACCACAGCGTTCCCGTCCAGCACCAACGAGGTGGTAGGGGCTCGTTTATCCGCACCACTCAATCACCCACCTCGCCACCCACCCACTCACCCACTCCCCTCGGGCGCATCATCTCACAAGCGGCCCAACACGCGCGCATGACACACGCGACGTAACACCACCACCACCACCACCATCATCACCATCACCCCCACCACCACCACCACCACCTCCACCACCACCACCTCCACCATCATCACCATCACCATCACCACCACCACCACCACTACCACCACCACCACCATCATCATCACCATCACCACCACCACCACCACCACCTCCACCACCACCACCACCACCACCTCCACCACCACCACCATCATCACCATCACCATCACCACCACCACCACCACCACCACCACCACTTCCACCACCACCACCACCACCACCACCACCTCCACCACCGCCACCACCACCACCACCTCCACCACCACCAGCACCACCACCACTTCCACCACCACCACCACCTCCACCACCACCACCACCACCTCCACCACCACCTCCACCAGCACCACCTCCACCACCACCACCTCCACCACCACCTCCACCACCACCACCTCCACCACCACCACCACCTCCACCACCACCACCACCTCCACCACCACCACACAGCAACCAACGTGATGACCCCCTCGATCCCCCCAACACCCCCCCCCCCACTGCCTCCTCCCCCCCCCCTCCCCCCACTTCCCATGGCACCGCGGGACACCGGGCCGAGACCAGAGCAGCCTCAACAGCGAGGGCAGTCTGGGCGCGGCGTCGCTGAGCGTCGTCTACATCACGCTCGTCGCCTCCTGCCTCTTCACGCCGTCCGCGCTCATCCACCGCCTGGGCTGCAAGCGCACCATGGTGCTGTCCATGGGCTGCTACCTGCCCTACTTCGCGGCCAACTTCTACCCCACCTGGTGAGATCATAGCGGGGGACAGGAGGGAGGTAGGGGAGGAGGTGATGGTGGAGGAGGTGGAGGTGGTGGAGGAGGTGGAGAAGGTGGTGGAGGAGGTGGTGTAGGTCTGCACCATGGTGCTGTCCATGGTGCTGCTACCTGACGCACTTCGCGGCCAACTTATACCCCACCTGGTGAGAGGGATACGCGGCGACACTGGGTGTAGGAGGGAGGAGGATGGTGTTGGAGGAGGTGGTGGAAGAGGAGGGAGGAGAAGGAGGTGGTGATGGTGGAGGAGGAGGTGGTGGAGTGAGTGAGTTGTGAGTGAGCGAGCGAGCGTCGAGTGAGTGAGTTGTGAGTGAGTGAGCGAGTGAGCGTTGAGTGAGTTTTGAGTGAGTGAGCGAGTGAGTGGTGAGTGAGCGAGCGAGCGTCGAGTGAGTGAGTTGTGAGTGAGTGAGCGAGTGAGCGGTGAGTCAGTTTTGAGTGAGTGAGCGAGTGAGTGGTGAGTGAGCGAGTGAGCGGTGAGTGAGTGAGTTGTGAGTGAGTGAGCGAGTGAGCGGTGAGTGAGTTTTGAGTGAGTGAGCGAGTGAGTGGTGAGTGAACGAGTGAGCGGTGAGTGAGTGAGTTGTGAGTGAGTGAGCGAGTGAGCGGTGAGTGAGTTGTGAGTGAATGAGCGAGTGAGCGTCGAGTGAGTGAGTTGTGAGTGAGTGAGCGTCGAGTGAGTGAGTTGTGAGTGAGTGAGCGAGTGAGTGGTAAGTGAGTGAGATGTGAGTGAGTGAGCGTCGAGTGAGTGAGTTGTGAGTGAGCGAGTGAGCGGTGAGTGAGTTTTGAGTGAGTGAGCGAGTGAGTGGTGAGTGAACGAGTGAGCGGTGAGTGAGTGAGTTGTGAGTGAGTGAGCGAGTGAGCGGTGAGTGAGTTGTGAGTGAATGAGCGAGTGAGCGTCGAGTGAGTGAGTTGTGAGTGAGTGAGCGTCGAGTGAGTGAGTTGTGAGTGAGTGAGCGAGTGAGTGGTAAGTGAGTGAGATGTGAGTGAGTGAGCGTCGAGTGAGTGAGTTGTGAGTGAGCGAGTGAGCGGTGAGTGAGTGAGCGGTGAGTGAGTGAGCGGTGAGTGAGTTGTGAGTGAGTGAACGAGTGAGCGGTGAGTGAGTTGTGAGTGAACGAGTGAGCGGTGAGTTAGTTGTGAGTGATTGAGCGAGTGAGCGGTGAGTGAGTGAGTGAGCGGTGAGTGAGTGAGCGGTGAGTGAGTGAGCGAGTGAGCGGTGAGTGAGTTGTGAGTGAGTGAGCGAGTGAGCGGTGAGTGAGTTTTGAGTGAGTGAGCGACTGAGCGTCGAGTGAGTTTTGAGTGAGTGAGCGAGTGAGCGGTGAGTGAGTGAGTGGTGAGTGAGTGAGCGGTGAGCGAGTGAGCGGTGAGTGAGTGAGCGAGTGAGCGGTGAGTGAGTTGTGAGTGAGTGAGCGAGTGAGCGGTGAGTGAGTTGTGAGTGAGTGAGCGAGTGAGCGTCGAGTGAGTTTTGAGTGAGTGAGCGAGTGAGCGGTGAGTGAGTTAGTGGTGAGTGAGTGAGTGGTGAGCGATTGAGTGGTGAGTAAGTGAGTTGTGAGTGAGTGAGCGAGTGAGCGGTGAGTGAGTTGTGAGTGAGTTAGCGAGTGAGCGGTGAGTGAGTTGTGAGTGAGTGAGCGAGTGAGCGGTGAATGAGCGGTGAGTGAGTGAGCGAGTGAGCGGTGAGTGAGTTGTGAGTGAGCGAGTGAGCAGTGAGTGAGTTGTGAGTGAGTGAGCGAGCGAGCGAGCGGTGAGTGAGTTGTGAGTGAACGGGTGAGCAGTGAGTGAGTGAGCGGTGAGTGAGTGAGCGAGTGAGTGGTGAGTGAGTTGTGAGTGAGTGAGCGAGTGAGCGGTGAGTGAGTTGTGAGTTAGTGAGTTGTGAGTGAGCGAGTGAGCGGTGAGTGAGTTGTGAGTGAATGAGCGAGTGAGCGTCGAGTGAGTGAGTTGTGAGTGAGTGAGCGTCGAGTGAGTGAGTTGTGAGTGAGTGAGCGAGTGAGTGGTAAGTGAGTGAGATGTGAGTGAGTGAGCGTCGAGTGAGTGAGTTGTGAGTGAGCGAGTGAGTGGTGAGTGAGTGAGCGGTGAGTGAGTGAGCGGTGAGTGAGTTGTGAGTGAGTGAACGAGTGAGCGGTGAGTGAGTTGTGAGTGAACGAGTGAGCGGTGAGTTAGTTGTGAGTGATTGAGCGAGTGAGCGGTGAGTGAGTGAGTGAGCGGTGAGCGAGTGAGCGGTGAGTGAGTGAGCGAGTGAGCGGTGAGTGAGTTGTGAGTGAGTGAGCGAGTGAGCGGTGAGTGAGTTTTGAGTGAGTGAGCGACTGAGCGTCGAGTGAGTTTTGAGTGAGTGAGCGAGTGAGCGGTGAGTGAGTGAGTGGTGAGTGAGTGAGCGGTGAGCGAGTGAGCGGTGAGTGAGTGAGCGAGTGAGCGGTGAGTGAGTTGTGAGTGAGTGAGCGAGTGAGCGGTGAGTGAGTTGTGAGTGAGTGAGCGAGTGAGCGTCGAGTGAGTTTTGAGTGAGTGAGCGAGTGAGCGGTGAGTGAGTGAGTGGTGAGTGAGTGAGCGGTGAGTGATTGAGTGGTGAGTGAGTGAGTTGTGAGTGAGTGAGCGAGTGAGCGGTGAGTGAGTTGTGAGTGAGTGAGCGAGTGAGCGGTGAGTGAGTTGTGAGTGAGTGAGCGAGTGAGCGGTGAGTGAGTTGTGAGTGAGTGAGCGAGTGAGCGGTGAGTGAGTTGTGAGTGAGCGAGTGAGCAGTGAGTGAGTTGTGAGTGAGTGAGCGAGCGAGCGAGCGGTGAGTGAGTTGTGAGTGAACGGGTGAGCAGTGAGTGAGTGAGCGGTGAGTGAGTGAGCGAGTGAGTGGTGAGTGAGTTGTGAGTGAGTGAGTGAGTGAGCGGTGAGTGAGTTGTGAGTTAGTGAGTTGTGAGTGAGCGAGTGAGCAGTGAGTGAGTTGCGAGTGAGCGAGTGAGTGAGCGAGCGAGTGAGCGGTGAGCGAGTGAGCCGTGAGTGAGTTGTGAGTGAGCGTGTGAGTGAGCGAGCGAGTGAGCGGTGAGCGAGTGAGCGGTGAGTGAGTTGTGAGTGAGTGAGTGAGTGAGCGGTGAGTGAGTTGTGAGTGAGTGAGTGAGCGGTGAGTGAGTTGTGAGTGAGTGAGTGAGCGGTGAGTGAGTTGTGAGTGAGTGAGTGAGCGGTGAGTGAGTTGTGAGTGAGTGAGTCAGTTGTGAGTGAGTTGCGAGTGAGCGAGTGAGTGAGCGAGCGAGTGAGCGGTGAGCGAGTGAGCCGTGAGTGAGTTGTGAGTGAGCGTGTGAGTGAGCGAGCGAGTGAGCGGTGAGCGAGTGAGCGGTGAGTGAGTTGTGAGTGAGTGAGTGAGCGGTGAGTGAGTTGTGAGTGAGTGAGTGAGCGGTGAGTGAGTTGTGAGTGAGTGAGTGAGCGGTGAGTGAGTTGTGAGTGAGTGAGTGAGCGGTGAGTGAGTTGTGAGTGAGTGAGTCAGTTGTGAGTGAGTTGTGAGTGAGCGAGTGAGCGAGTGAGCGGTGAGCGAGTGAGCGGTGATTGAGTGCGCGGCGAGTGAGTTGTGAGTGAGTGAACGAGTGAGCGGTGAGTGAGTTGTGAGTGAACGAGTGAGCGGTGAGTTAGTTGTGAGTGATTGAGCGAGTGAGCGGTGAGTGAGTGAGTGAGCGGTGAGCGAGTGAGCGGTGAGTGAGTGAGCGAGTGAGCGGTGAGTGAGTTGTGAGTGAGTGAGCGAGTGAGCGGTGAGTGAGTTTTGAGTGAGTGAGCGACTGAGCGTCGAGTGAGTTTTGAGTGAGTGAGCGAGTGAGCGGTGAGTGAGTGAGTGGTGAGTGAGTGAGCGGTGAGCGAGTGAGCGGTGAGTGAGTGAGCGAGTGAGCGGTGAGTGAGTTGTGAGTGAGTGAGCGAGTGAGCGGTGAGTGAGTTGTGAGTGAGTGAGCGAGTGAGCGTCGAGTGAGTTTTGAGTGAGTGAGCGAGTGAGCGGTGAGTGAGTGAGTGGTGAGTGAGTGAGCGGTGAGTGATTGAGTGGTGAGTGAGTGAGTTGTGAGTGAGTGAGCGAGTGAGCGGTGAGTGAGCTGTGAGTGAGTGAGCGAGTGAGCGGTGAGTGAGTTGTGAGTGAGTGAGCGAGTGAGCGGTGAATGAGCGGTGAGTGAGTGAGCGAGTGAGCGGTGAGTGAGTTGTGAGTGAGCGAGTGAGCAGTGAGTGAGTTGTGAGTGAGTGAGCGAGCGAGCGAGCGGTGAGTGAGTTGTGAGTGAACGGGTGAGCAGTGAGTGAGTGAGCGGTGAGTGAGTGAGCGAGTGAGTGGTGAGTGAGTTGTGAGTGAGTGAGCGAGTGAGCGGTGAGTGAGTTGTGAGTTAGTGAGTTGTGAGTGAGCGAGTGAGCGGTGAGTGAGTTGCGAGTGAGCGAGTGAGTGAGCGAGCGAGTGAGCGGTGAGCGAGTGAGCCGTGAGTGAGTTGTGAGTGAGCGTGTGAGTGAGCGAGCGAGTGAGTGGTGAGCGAGTGAGCGGTGAGTGAGTTGTGAGTGAGTGAGTGAGCGGTGAGTGAGTTGTGAGTGAGTGAGTGAGCGGTGAGTGAGTTGTGAGTGAGTGAGTGAGCGGTGAGTGAGTTGTGAGTGAGTGAGTGAGCGGTGAGTGAGTTGTGAGTGAGTGAGTGAGCGGTGAGTGAGTTGTGAGTGAGTGAGCGGTGAGTGAGTTGTGAGTGAGTGAGTGAGCGGTGAGTGAGTTGTGAGTGAGCGAGTGAGCGGTGAGTGAGTTGTGAGTGAGCGAGTGAGCGGTGAGCGAGTGAGCGGTGATTGAGTGAGCGGCGAGTGAGTTGTGAGTGAGTGAACGAGTGAGCGGTGAGTGAGTTGTGAGTGAACGAGTGAGCGGTGAGTTAGTTGTGAGTGATTGAGCGAGTGAGCGGTGAGTGAGTGAGTGAGCGGTGAGCGAGTGAGCGGTGAGTGAGTGAGCGGTGAGTGAGTTGTGAGTGAGTGAGTGAGTTGTGAGTGAGTGAGCGGTGAGTGAGTTGTGAGTGAGTGAGTGAGCGGTGAGTGAGCGGTGAGTGAGTGAGCGAGTGAGCGAGTGAGTTGTGAGTGAGTGAGTGAGTGAGCGGTGAGCGAGTGAGCGAGTGAGCGAGTGAGCGAGTGAGCGAGTGAGTTGTGAGTGAGTTGTGAGTGAGTGAGTGAGTTGTGAGTGAGTGAGTGAGCGGTGAGTGAGTTGTGAGTGAGTGAGTGAGTTGTGAGTGAGTGAGTTGTGAGCGAGTGAGCGAGCGAGCAAGTTCGCTCCGCGTGCCCGCAGGGCCACGATGGTGCCGGCGTCCATTGTGCTGGGCGCCGGCGCCGCTCCCCTCTGGGCCTCCAAGTGCGCCTACCTGACGGCGAGGGCCCGCGGCCGGGCCGCCATCGTCGGCCGCTACTTCTCCCTCTTCTTTGCCCTCTTCCAGAGTGGCCAAGTATGGGGCAACCTCGTCTCGTCGCTCGTGCTGACGCAGGCGCCCGGCGCGGGTAAGGTGGGCGGAGACTCGCGACGGGCCACGCCCACCGACGTCGCTCGCACGCGTGGGGTAGATGAAGGGGGCGGAGACTCGCGACGGGCCACGCCCACCGACGTCGCTCGCGCGCGTGGGGTAGATGAAGGGGGCGGAGACTCGCGACGGGCCACGCCCACCGACGTCGCTCGCGCGCGCGTGGGGCGGATGAAGGGGGCGGAGACTCGCGACGGGCCACGCCCACCGACGTCGCTCGCGCGCGCGTGGGGCGGATGAAGGGGGCGGAGACTCGCGACGGGCCACGCCCACCGACGTCGCTCGCGCGCGCGTGGGGCGGATGAAGGGGGCGGAGACTCGCGACGGGCCACGCCCACCGACGTCGCTCGCGCGCGCGTGGGGCGGATGAAGGGGGCGGAGACTCGCGACGGGCGACGCCCACCGACGTCGCTCGCGCGCGCGTGGGGTAAATGAAGGGGGCGGAGACTCGCGACGGGCCACGCCCACCGACGTCGCTCGCGCGCGCGTGGGGCGGATGAAGGGGGCGGAGACTCGCGACGGGCCGCGCCCACCGATGTGGGTCGCGCGCGCGGGGCGGATGAAGGGGGCGGAGACTCGCGACGGGCCACGCCCACCGACGTCGCTCGCGCGCGCGGAGCGAATGAAGGGGGCGGAGACTCGCGACGGGCGACGCCCACCGACGTCGCACGCGCGCACATGGGGTGAATGAAGGGGGCGGAGACTCGCGACGGGCCACGCCCACCGACGTCGCTCGCGCGCGTGGGGGAGATGAAGGGGGCGGAGACTCGCGACGGGCCACGCCCACCGACGTCGCTCGCCGCGCGCGGGGCGGATGGAGGGGGCGGAGACTCGCCACGGGCGACGCCCACCGACGTCGCTCGCGCGCGCGTGGGGCGGATGAAGGGGGCGGAGACTCGCGACGGGCGACGCCCACCGACGTCGCTCGCGCGCGCGTGGGGCAGATGAAGGGGGCGGAGACTCGCGACGGGCCACGCCCACCGACGTCGCTCGCGCGCGCGGGGTAGATGAAGGGGGCGGAGACTCGCGACGGGCCACGCCCACCGACGTCGCTCGCGCGCGCGTGGGGCGGATGAAGGGGGCGGAGACTCGTGACGGGCGACGCCCACCGACGTCGCTCGCGCGCGCGTGGGGGCGGATGAAGGGGGCGGAGACTCGCGACGGGCCACGCCCACCGACGTCACGCACACGCAACTCAGTGATCGCGTCATTAACACCGCGCCGCTGGCCCTGCTTGGCCCCCCTGAGGCAGATCCACTTCACCCTGCGAATCTCCGAGCGTCGTGAACGCGGACTCGGTTCATCGCCAGCACAGAACGCCTGCGAGCCCTGTGGCCACCCTCACCACCCCACACACCTCCACGCCCCCTCCACACCCCCCAATCCCAGCACCCCGGCCATTCGCCACTAAGCGGCGTGCCAGGCCGGGTGCACTTCGAGGCTACCACGTGAAAGTGTCGACGGCTCTCGCTGCTGACTTGGAGGAGGAGGTCGCGGTGCCAGACCCAGCAGGTGCCACGGGTTGGCTAATGGAGATGACCACCGGTAGAGGCGCCACCGCCAGTTCCTTGCGGCACAAACGGAAAGCCTCGACATCCCAGCGCCCCACCACACACACCACCACAAAAGACAAAGACAAAGATCCCCCGTATAGCCTTAACAGACTGTAGGGGCAAGTGCTGTTAGCGAGCACCTATGAAGGCCGGAACGGTACACGAGGGGGTGGGTGGCCAGCACCACGCCCGACCGCCTTTGTCTCCCTAGTGGCGATATTTACACACCGCCCCAGGTACTCATTTGAGGCTGAGTCGACCTAGGGGAGGCCCGGGACCGGTTCAGATAATCGTCACTGGTGTTGGTCGTGAGCGGGAATCGAACCCGGGTCGCCAGGTTCATAGCGCAGCGCGCTAACCGCTACACTACCGCTCCCCACACACCACCACACACACACCACCACCCACACCACCCACCCACCCACACCACGCCCCTCGATTCCAGATGGCACGGCCAACGCGTCCCTGCTGCTGCTGCTGCACTGCGGCGTGGGCAGTTGCCACGGGGAGGCTCCGGGCGGCGGCGGCGGCGGCGGCGGCCTCGAGGAGGTGCCGGGCGCCGTTCAGCCGTCGAGGGTCACCGTCTACATCGTGCTCAGCGTCTACAGCGGTGAGACAGCGGACAAACCCGCGGGGGGGGGGGGGGGGGGTGCTGCGGGGGGGTCGGGTGCCCGCGCACGCACACACACGTGCTCCGTCAGGAGTGTGGTGTGTACAGGTGTGTGGTGTGTGTACAGGTGTGTGTGTGTACAGGTGTGTGTTGTGTGTACAGGTGTGTGTGGTGTGTACAGGTGTGTGTGTGTGTACAAGTGTGTGGTGTGTGTACAGGTTTGTGTGTGTACAGGTGTGTGAGGTGTGTACAGGTGTGTGTGTGTGTGTACAGGTGTGTGTGGTGTGTACAGGTGTGTGGTGTGTACAGGTGTGTGTTGTGTGTGTACAGGTGTGTGTGTGTACAGGTGTGTGTGGTGTGTACAGGTGTGTGTGGTGTGTACAGGTGTGTGTGGTGTGTACAGGTGTGTGTGTGTACAGGTGTGTGTGTGTGTACAGGTGTGTGTGTGTGTGTACAGGTGTGTGTGGTGTGTACAGGTGTGTGTGGTGTGTACAGGTGTGTGTGGTGTGTACAGGTGTGTGTGGTGTGTACAGGTGTGTGTGTACAGGTGTGTGTGTGTACAGGTGTGTGTGTGTGTACAGGTGTGTGTGTGTGTGTGTACAGGTGTGTGTGTGTGTACAGGTGTGTGTTGTGTGTACAGGTGTGTGGTGTGTACAGGTGTGTGTACAGGTGTGTGTGGTGTGTACAGGTGTGTGTGTGTACGGGTGTGTGGTGTGTACAGGTGTGTGTGTGTACAGGTGTGTGTGGTGTGTACAGGTGTGTGTGTGTACAGGTGTGTGTGTACAGGTGTGTGGTGTGTACAGGTGTGTGTGTACAGGTGTGTGTGGTGTGTACAGGTGTATGTGTGTACAGGTGTGTGTGTGTGTACAGGTGTGTGGTGGGTGTATACAGGTGTGTGTGGTGTGTACAGGTGTGTGTTGTGTGTACAGGTGTGTGTGTGTACAGGTGTGTGTGTGTACAGGTGTGTGTGTGTGTACAGGTGTGTGGTGTGTACAGGTGTGTGTGGTGTGTACAGGAGTGTGGTGTGTACAGGTGTGTGGAAGGACGCCCTGGTGGTCTCCCTCTTTAAGAAACGGGACCTCACAGACTGTAACAACTACAGGGGCATCTCACTCCTCAGTATGTCGGGAAAGGTACTGGCAAGGATTATTCAACATCGCCTTGCCAGGCACGCTGAGGAGAGGCTTGCGGAGCCCCAATGCGGTTTCAGGAAAGGGCGGTCCTGCACAGATGCCATATTTTCTGTCCGTCTGCTACAGCAGAGGTGTAGGGAATTCCAACAAGACCTACATCTCTGCTTTATTGACCTAGTCAAGGCATATGATACCATCAGTAGGCCTGGGCTCTGGGTTGTTCTTCGCGCTTTTGGATTCCCTGTCCCTCTGCTCACGATCATTAAGGACCTTCATGATGGTGAGAGGGCCCGGGTAAAACTACGTGGCCGGGAGTCAGAGCCATTCCCTGTACACCTTGGGGTGCAACAGGGATGTCCTCTGGCTCCCACATTATTTAACATCTATTTTGACCACGTAGTTCGTGAAGCCTTCAATATCGCTACCGGGAGAATTTCCATTTGGTATAGATATAAGGGGAGGCTGATCGATGCCCGGGTGCGGTCAAGGGATGGCTCCCTATTGCTCAACCACGTTAAGCATGCCAATGATTTGGTAATAGCTGCTCAATCAGAGGAGGAGTTGGAGACCCGGCTGCTGAGACTGGAGCATGCCACTAAGTCCATCAGCCCCACCAAAACTGAGCACCTGCCTGGGTATTTTGTACCATCGGACACTCCACCCCCACAACTTCCAATCGGTGATGGGGCAGTTGTAGAGAGAGTGGAGAGTTTCCCATACCTGGGCAGTGTGCTTATGACCGCTCCAGTTTAACAGCAGAGGTCTCACTCCGAATCAGTCGAGTGGCAATATCTTTTCATCGGTTGCGTAACGCTGTGTGGAAGCTACCTGGTCTGTCGCTCCACACTAAGCTTCAGGTCTTCTCGGCCACGGTCATTCCTTCCCTTCTCTACGCTTGCGAAACGTGGACCCCCCTAATGGAACATCTTCGCCGGTTAGAAACAATTAGGCTACCCTGCCTACGATCCATCCTGGGTTTAACCAGGCTGGATTGTGTGACGAGCTCACACATCCTTGAAAAATCTGGACAAGGTCCCATCGGTGAGCTCCTCTGGCAGGCAAGGCTGCGTTGGCTGGGTCATGTAGCCCGCATGCCCAGCCACTACATGACTAAACAGCTTTTGTTCGGCCGGATCGAGGGGGCTAAACGGGCGCGGCACGGGCTGGAGAAGAGATGGAGTGATGTGGTACAGGAGGACGTGGAGCTGAGTGGACTTGCCGATGACTGGTACCAGCGGTGTCAAGATCAGATCAGCCTTTGTGGAGGAGGCTCGTGAAGGACGCTACTGGACAGTTGGAGGCAGTTGCCCTCCAACAACAACGGAGGGCGGAGGAGCGACGCTCACAACAACGAGCTGAGCGCCGGGTGGCTAAAGCACAGCAGGTTGGCACAGTAGGGGGCACAGGTGGTGCATCAGCCAGTCATCTCAGTCAGTCGACCCGTGGCACCTGCTGGGTCTGCCCCGTGACCTCCTGCCAGCGGGCGTTCGACACTTCACGTGGCCTCAAGGTGCACATGGCCTGGCACAAGTGTCGTGGTGACGTCACCGCCACTTAGTGGTGAATAGCGGTTGTTGTGTGTGTGTGGAGTGTGTGGTATGTGTACAGGTGTGTGTGGTGTGTGTGGTGTGTGTACGTGCGTGCAGGTGTGTGTTGTGTGGAGAGCGGTGGGTGTAGCGGTTAGCGCGCTGCGCTATGAACCCGGCGACCCGAGTTCGATTCCCAATCATGCCCAACACCACCACGTGACGATTATCTGAACCGGTACCTGGGCCTCCCCTAGGTCGGCTCAGCCTCAAATGAGTGCCTGATGCGGTGTTTAGTAAATATCGCCACTCGTGAGAAAGGTTAAGATGTTCAAACGCCAACTGGAGTAAACATTTGCCAAGGAAGCAGGTGCCGCATTAACCACACGCAGTTCTTTTGGTGAACATGGTAAATGCGTACTCACGTAGGTAAAAAAATACAATTTAAAAAATGATTTAATTTAGTTTAACACGTCGGCTTTCGCGACCGGTACTATTCATAATAAAGGTTGTTGGGGTTAGATCGCGTTATTTATAAATGTGTCGTAACCCTCCACCACCCGACACGGCCAATCAGCAAAAAAAAGTGTCACGTTGACAAAACACAAAAATAGTTCACTACTTTAGCCCACCGGTGTGTCGAAGAGTGAATCCACAAACTGTAAATGTTGTGGATGATTTGATTTAATTTAGTTTTCATTTATTTTATTTTATTCATTTCATTTATTTTATTTGATTTATTTACAAATAAATATTTTATTTTATTTATTTAAAAATAAATAAAATAAAAATAAATGATTTAATTTGGTTTTCATTTTTTGTTTTAAGAATAAATAAAATAAAAATAAACGATTTAATTTAGTTTCCACCTATTTTTATTTATTTAAAAATAAATAATAAATAAATGCATGAATTTTGTTTTCATTTATTTTTATTCATTTAAAAATAAAAAATAAAAAATTATTTAATTTAGTTCTCATATAATTTTATTTTATTTATCGTTTACCTACGTGACTTTACCGAAGAAAAAAAAAACAAAGAGTATATGAATCATACTCTTAGCTCTTTCGGTAAAGTCACGTTGAAGCGAAACAATAAAATAATACAATATATATAAAACAATAAAATAATAAAATTCTCACGGTTTGCAAACCGACACACCTGATGACGACCGTTTGTGTTACGGTCGAAACGTCGTGAGAATTTTTTTATTGTTTTATATATATTTTATATTATTTTATTGTTTCCCCTTCAACGTGGTGACTTTACCGAAAGAGCTAAGAATATGACTTACTGCAGTCACGAAAGCTTTAAATAAAAAAAGTAAATGAATCCTTGCGGCCACAAAAGCTTCACATCTAGAATGGCAAATGCAATGCTTCATCCTAGCAACAGGTTTCCATTTGGTGTTTGAATATCCGAACACAACGCCTGTTGTATCGCCGGAAAGGCCAAAGCCTCTACTTATTTAACAGACTTTCACACTGCCGATGAAGTTATCCCAGGTACAAGGAGCCGTCCGTTAATGACGTCACGCACCTAGGAAGGTGGTGGGGGGGGGGGCGGGGTGGTCAGACATTTGTGACGTATTTGTGACGATGGGGTGGAGGGCGGGGGGGCGGGGTTTGAGAGATGTGACGTCACATCAAAACGCGTCAACTTTATATATATAAATAAATAGTGACAACGCGTTCTGCTCAATTAAATAGACTTTTATATAAATAATAAGCATTACAATTCCTTATAGGGGAAACACATACTAATTAACGGATTACTAACGTAGCATATAATCACAATAACACACATTGCAACTAATTACTAATCTACAACTCATTACTAATCATAACCATTGACTGATTACTAATCGATTATATAATTACAATACCCCCCCCCTCCGCCTCTAATCACTGCACCTGATATGAGTTAAGTGATGACGTCACCCTGCTGCTCTATATAAAAACCGGGAGCAAGCGAGGGCTTTACCATTCTGGCGAATTGCCCGATGATGCTGGAAGTATTTACCAGCGAAACGTTACAGTACTACTCAAACTGTAAATGTTGTGGATTCACTCTTCAACACACCGGTGGGCTAAAGTAGTGAACTATTTTTGTCTTTTGTCAACGTGACACTTTTTTTTGCTGATTGGCCGTGTCGGATGGTGGAGGGTTACGACACATTTATAAATAACGCGATCTAACCCCAAAACACCTTTATTATGAATTTGTAATAAATGTTTTCTCCTACAACATCATCAACATCAGAGTTGCAGCGACAAATTAAATACGCACTACAATGACAATAGTTTATAGCGATTTGAAGCATGTTTTATTTTTTTTTTTGGGGGGGGGGAGGGCAGAGCTTTGTGACGTCATATTTGAGGGGGGGTCAAAAATCGTCCAAAATCGCGTGACGTCATATATGGACGGCCCCATAAATTAATTTCGATTTAAAGCTTTCGTGACCGCAGTGATTCATATTCTTCGTTCTTTCGGTAAAGTCACCACGTAGATAGGGAAACAATAAAATAATGTAAAACAATAAAATCCTCACGACGTTTCGACTGCAAAAACAAGCAATCATCAACAGCTGTGAAAACCACAGCAAAGAAAATTTGAATAGCGACGTTTTATATATATTTTTATTTTATTTTATTGTTTCCCTTCTACGTGACTTTACCGAAAGAACCAAGAATACGGGGCCCCTAATTGCTCCGATACGTGTGGCATTGTCCTTGTCCTGTTCGCATTCTGGCGACGTTCTCTGCTCCGACACCGGTCGTGAGACGGGGCGATGCGTCGATTGTATCATTGTTCGCAACGAGTATCGTGCGCGGTTCATGAGGTGCTAAGCATCGACCTAAACACCACTCCCGTTGTAGAGGGTGCTTCAAAAACTCATGGCCGAGGATTCGCAACAACACCACGAGGAATCGCCTTGACTTGAAGCTTTCGTGACCGCAGGGAGCCATGCTCTTTGGCAAAGTCCACGCAGTTAGAAATCAAATCAAATCAAAGGGGAACAAACGGCGACGTTTCCATCGCAACACGAGCGGCCGTCATCAGGCGAAGGAGTCGGCCTCTAAAGGCGAAACTGTTGATAGAGGTTTGGGGAAAACCTCTTGAAACAGCAGCTCTCTCGGTCCCACTGCATTGGCATTGTTGCTACATTGGTATTGCTGCTGCATTGACGTTGTTGTTACATTCGCATTGTTGCTGCTACATTGGCATTGCTGCTGCATTGGCATTGTTGCTACATTGACATTGTTGTTACATTGGCATTGTTGCTACATTGACATTGTTGCTACATTGACATTGTTGCTACATTGGCATTGTTGCTACATTGGTATTGTTGCTACATTGGCATTGCTGCTACATTGGCATTGTTACTACATTGGCATTGTTGCTACATTGACATTGTTGCTACATTGACATTGTTGCTACATTGACATTGTTGCTACATTGGTATTGTTGCTGCATTGGCATTGTTGCTACATTGGCATTGTTGCTACGTTGGCATTGTTGCTACATTGGCATTGTTGCTACATTGGCATTGTTGCTACATTGACATTGTTACTACATTGGCATTGTTGCTACATTGGCATTGTTGCTACATTGACATTGTTGCTACATTGGCATTGCTGCTACATTGGCACTCATGCATCGCCCGTGCTCCTGGTGCTGTTGATGCACTTGGGCTACGCCCATGCCCAAACCTCTATCAAGAGTTCGCCTTTAGAGGCTGACTCCTTCGCCTGAACACGACCGCTTGGTGTTGCGATCGAAACGTCGCGAATTGTTTCATTTTATTTTATTTCACACTTCGTGGACTTTACCGAAAGAACCAAAGAGTGCCACGAGAAATGTGCCGGCACCCCGCGGGCTCCTCGCCCATCCACCAGCGGCAGAGGTTCCCTTCGCCTCGGGATGCGACCCCAAACCTGAAACGATCTCCATGCATCACCTCCTCCGCCATGCGGCCACTCACCCACCCAGCCAACCAACCACCACACCCCAACCATCCACCCACCCACCCAACCACCACACCCCAACCATCCACCCAGCCAACCACCACACCCCACCACCCACCCACCCACCCACCAACACCCACCCTCCCACCACCCCCCACCACCCACCCACTCACCCAACCACCCACCCACCACCCACCCACCCACCCCCTCCCAGGCTGCAGCATCCTGGGCCTGGTTCTCGTGGCTGCGTTCGTGAGGCCCCTGGAGGACGAAGCGGCGAGGAGAGGCCCCGTGGGGGGCACCGCCAGGGGTCACCCCCAGGGGTCACGCCCAGGGGTCACGCCCAGGGGTCACCCCCAGGGGTCACGCGGGAGCCGGGAGCTTGGGCCGGTCGGAGGAGACGAAGCTACGAGCGGCAGTCATGGCGATGTTCGTGGTGCTGGTGGTGCTGGTGGTGCTGGTGGTGCTGGTGGTGTTTTTGTTGTTGATGGCGGTGGTGATGTTGGTGGTGCTGGTCGTGTTGGCGAAGTTCGTGGTGTTGGTGGTGGTGGTGGTGGTGACAGTAATCACGGTGACAGTGGTGATGGTGAAGCTGCTGTGCATGGGGAGGGATGGTGCCGATTGTTCCTGGCCACCATGCGCCAGATGCAGGACCGTCGCCAGCTGCTGCTGATACCACTCACCATGTACAGCGGCCTGGAGCAAGCTTTCCTTGCCAGCGATTTCACCAAGGTATGGCCAGAGATCGTTACAATGAGAACAATAATTGTGCGTTCATATTGCGGCGTCATCCATGTGTAGCGGATTCCAGTCCTTTTATTCCACCTTTGTCACAGCTCCCTCCTTCGTCCACAGCTCTCTCCACACACAGCCCCCTCCTTCATCCACAGCTCTCTCCACACACAGCTCCCTCCATCCACGGCTTTCTCCACACAGAGCTCCCTCCTTCATCTACAGCTCTCTCCACACACAGCTCCCTCCTTCATCCACAGTTCTCTCCACACACAGCTCCCTCCTTCATCCACAGCTCTCTCCACACACAGCTCCCTCCTTCATCCACAGCTCTCTCCACACACAGCTCCCTCCTTCATCCACAGCTCTCTCCACACACAGCTCCCTCCATCCACGGCTTTCTCCACACAGAGCTCCCTCCTTCATCTACAGCTCTCTCCACACACAGCTCCCTCCTTCATCCACAGTTCTCTCCACACACAGCTCCCTCCTTCATCCACAGCTCTCTCAACACACAGCTCCCTCCTTCATCCACAGCTGTCTCCACACACAGCTCGTTACTTCATCCACAGCTCTCTCCACACACAGCTCCCTCCTTCATCCACAGCTCTCTCCACACACAGCTACCTCCTTCATCCACAGCTCCCTCCACACACAGCTCCCTCCTTCATCCACAGCTCTCTCCACACACAGCTCCCTCTTTCATCCACAGCTCTCTCCACACACAGCTCCCTCCTTCATTCACAGCTCTCTCCACACACAGCTCCCTCCTTCATCCACAGCTCTCTCCACACACAGCTCCCTCCTTCATCCACAGCTCTCTCCACACACAGCTCCCTCTTTCATCCACAGCTCTCTCCACACACAGCTCCCTCTTTCATCCACAGCTCTCTCCACACACAGCTCCCTCCTTCATCCACAGCTCTCTCCACACACAGCTCCCTCCTTCATCCACAGCTTTCTCCACACACAGCTCCCTCCTTCATCCACAGCTCTCTCCACACACAGCTCCCTCCTTCATCCACAGCTGTCTCCACACACAGCTCTATCCTTCATCAACAGCTTTCTCCACACACAGCTCCCTCCATCCACGGCTTTCTCCACACAGAGCTCCCTCCTTCATCTACAGCTCTCTCCACACACAGCTCCCTCCTTCATCCACAGTTCTCTCCACACACAGCTCCCTCCTTCATCCACAGCTCTCTCCACACACAGCTCGTTACTTCATCCACAGCTCTCTCCACACACAGCTCCCTCCTTCATCCACAGCTCTCTCCACACACAGCTCCCTCCTTCATCCACAGCTCTCTCCACACACAGCTCCCTCCTTCATCCACAGCTCTCTCCACACACAGCTCCCTCTTTCATCCACAGCTCTCTCCACACACAGCTCCCTCCTTCATTCACAGCTCTCTCCACACACAGCTCCCTCCTTCATCCACAGCTCTCTCCACACACAGCTCCCTCCTTCATCCACAGCTCTCTCCACACACAGCTCCCTCTTTCATCCACAGCTCTCTCCACACACAGCTCCCTCTTTCATCCACAGCTCTCTCCACACACAGCTCCCTCCTTCATCCACAGCTCTCTCCACACACAGCTCCCTCCTTCATCCACAGCTCTCTCCACACACAGCTCCCTCCTTCATCCACAGCTCTCTCCACACACAGCTCCCTCCTTCATCTACAGCTGTCTCCACACACAGCTCTATCCTTCATCAACAGCTCTCTCCACACACAGCTCCCTCCTTCATCCACAGCTCTCTCCACACAGAGCTCCCTCCTTCATCCACAGCTCTCTCCACACACAGCTCCCTCCTTCATCCACAGTTCTCTCCACACACAGCTCCCTCCTTCATCCACAGCTCTCTCCACACACAGCTACCTCCTTCATCCACAGCTCTCTCCACACACAGCTCCCTCCTTCATCCACAGCTCTCTCCAAACACAGCTCCCTCCTTCATCCACAGCTCTCTCCACACACAGCTCCCTCCTTCATCCACAGCTCTCTCCACACACAGCTCCCTCCTTCATCCACAGCTCTCTCCACACACAGCTCCCTCCTTCATCCATAGCTCTCTCCACCCACAGCTCGTCACTTCATCCACAGCTCTCTCCACACACAGCTCCCTCCTTCATCCACAGCTCTCTCCACACACAGCTCCCTCCTTCATCCATAGGTCTCTCCAAACACAGCTCCCTCCTTCATCCACAGCTCTCTCCACACACAGCTCCCTCCTTCATCCACAGCTCTCTGCACACACAGCTCCCTCCTTCATCCACAGCTCTCTCCACACACAGCTCCCTCCTTCATCCACAGCTCTCTCCATACAGAGCTCCTTCCTTCATCTACAGCTCTCTCCACACACAGCTCCCTCCTTCATCCACAGCTCTCTCCACACACAGCTCCCTCCTTCATCCACAGCTCTCTCCACACACAGCTCCCTCCTTCATCCACAGCTCTCTCCACACACAGCTCCCTCCTTCATCCACAGCTCTCTCAAAACACAGCTCCCTCCTGCATCCACAGCTCTCTCCACACACAGCTCCCTCCTTCATCCACAGCTCTCTCCACACACAGCTCCCTCCTTCATCCACAGCTCTCTCCACACACAGCTCCCTCCTTCATCCACAGCTCTCTCCACACACAGCTCCCTCCTTCATCCATAGCTCTCTCCACACACAGCTCGTCACTTCATCCACAGCTCTCTCCACACACAGCTCCCTCCTTCATCCACAGCTCTCTCCACACACAGCTCCCTCCTTCATCCATAGCTCTCTCCACACACAGCTCGTCACTTCATCCACAGCTCTCTCCACACACAGCTCCCTCCTTCATCCACAGCTCTCTCCACACACAGCTCCCTCCTTCATCCATAGCTCTCTCCACACACAGCTCGTCACTTCATCCACAGCTCTCTCCACACACAGCTCCCTCCTTCATCCACAGCTCTCTCCACACACAGCTCCCTCCTTCATCCACAGCTCTCTCCACACACAGCTCCCTCCTTCATCCACAGCTCTCTCCACACACAGCTCCCTCCTTCATCCACAGCTCTCTCCACACACAGCTCCCTCCTTCATCCACAGCTCTCTCCACACACAGCTCCCTCCTTCATCCACAGCTCTCTCCACACACAGCTCCCTCCTTCATCCATAGCTCTCTCCACACACAGCTCGACACTTCATCCACAGCTCTCTCCACACACAGCTCCCTCCTTCATCCACAGCTCTCTCCACACACAGCTCCCTCCTTCATCCATAGCTCTCTCCACACACAGCTCGTCACTTCATCCACAGCTCTCTCCACACACAGCTCCCTCCTTCATCCACAGCTCTCTCCACACACAGCTCCCTCCTTCATCCATAGGTCTCTCCAAACACAGCTCCCTCCTTCATCCACAGCTCTCTCCACACACAGCTCCCTCCTTCATCCACAGCTCTCTCCACACACAGCTCCCTCCTTCATCCACAGCTCTCTCCACACACAGCTCCCTCCTTCATCCACAGCTCTCTCCATACAGAGCTCCTTCCTTCATCTACAGCTCTCTCCACACACAGCTCCCTCCTTCATCCACAGCTCTCTCCACACACAGCTCCCTCCTTCATCCACAGCTCTCTCCACACACAGCTCCCTCCTTCATCCACAGCTCTCTCCACACACAGCTCCCTCCTTCATCCACAGCTCTCTCTATACACAGCTCCCTCCTGCATCCACAGCTCTCTCCACACACAGCTCCCTCCTTCATCCACAGCTCTCTCCACACACAGCTCCCTCCTTCATCCACAGCTCTCTCCACACACAGCTCCCTCCTTCATCCACAGCTCTCTCCACACACAGCTCCCTCCTTCATCCATAGCTCTCTCCACACACAGCTCGTCACTTCATCCACAGCTCTCTCCACACACAGCTCCCTCCTTCATCCACAGCTCTCTCCACACACAGCTCCCTCCTTCATCCATAGGTCTCTCCACACACAGCTCCCTCCTTCATCCACAGCTCTCTCCACACACAGCTCCCTCCTTCATCCACAGCTCTCTCCACACACAGCTCCCTCCTTCATCCACAGCTCTCTCCACACACAGCTCCCTCCTTCATCCACAGCTCTCTCCACACACAGCTCCTTCCTTCATCTACAGCTCTCTCCACACACAGCTCCCTCCTTCATCCACAGCCCTCTCCACACACAGCTCCCTCCTTCATCCACAGCTCTCTCTACACACAGCTCCCTCCTTCATCCACAGCTTTCTCCACACACAGCTCCCTCCTTCATCCACAGCTCTCTCTATACACAGCTCCCTCCTGCATCCACAGCTCTCTCCACACACAGCTCCCTCCTTCATCCACAGCTCTCTCCACACACAGCTCCCTCTTTCATCCACAGCTCTCTCCACACACAGCTCCCTCTTTCATCCACAGCTCTCTCCACACACAGCTCCCTCCTTCATCCACAGCTCTCTCCACACACAGCTCCCTCCTTCATCCACAGCTTTCTCCACACACAGCTCCCTCCTTCATCCACAGCTCTCTCCACACACAGCTCCCTCCTTCATCTACAGCTGTCTCCACACACAGCTCTATCCTTCATCAACAGCTCTCTCCACACACAGCTCCCTCCTTCATCCACAGCTCTCTCCACACAGAGCTCCCTCCTTCATCCACAGCTCTCTCCACACACAGCTCCCTCCTTCATCCACAGTTCTCTCCACACACAGCTCCCTCCTTCATCCACAGCTCTCTCCATACAGAGCTCCTTCCTTCATCTACAGCTCTCTCCACACACAGCTCCCTCCTTCATCCACAGCTCTCTCCACACACAGCTCCCTCCTTCATCCACAGCTCTCTCCACACACAGCTCCCTCCTTCATCCACAGCTCTCTCCACACACAGCTCCCTCCTTCATCCACAGCTCTCTCTATACACAGCTCCCTCCTTCATCCACAGCTCTCTCCACACACAGCTCCCTCCTTCATCCACAGCTCTCTCCACACACAGCTCCCTCCTTCATCCACAGCTCTCTCTATACACAGCTCTCTCCACACACAGCTCCCTCCTTCATCCACAGCTCTCTCCACACACAGCTCCCTCCTTCATCCACAGCTCTCTCCACACACAGCTCCCTCCTTCATCCATAGCTCTCTCCACACACAGCTCGTCACTTCATCCACAGCTCTCTCCACACACAGCTCCCTCCTTCATCCACAGCTCTCTCCACACACAGCTCCCTCCTTCATCCATAGGTCTCTCCACACACAGCTCCCTCCTTCATCCACAGCTCTCTCCACACACAGCTCCCTCCTTCATCCACAGCTCTCTCCACACACAGCTCCCTCCTTCATCCACAGCCCTCTCCACACACAGCTCCCTCCTTCATCCACAGCTCTCTCCACACACAGCTCCCTCCTTCATCCACAGCTCTCTCCACACACAGCTCCCTCCTTCATCCACAGCTCTCTCTATACACAGCTCCCTCCTGCATCCACAGCTCTCTCCACACACAGCTCCCTCCTTCATCCACAGCTCTCTCCACACACAGCTCCCTCCTTCATCCACAGCTCTCTCCACACACAGCTCCCTCCTTCATCCACAGCTCTCTCCACACACAGCTCAAGCAGGTTTATAGAGAGATCGATAGATGAGAGGGGAGGGACTGAGAGAGTGCGGGTGGCTACTCAGACAGTAGCCACGTGTTCTCCAGGAGGAGGCTCGAGCTGAGAGAGAGAGAGATGTATAATGCAAGTCCACGCTGCGCTGTGTGTAGTCGATGGTGACGTGCGCCCTGGGGCTGGAATGGATTGGCTTCGTCATGATCTGCTACGGTGCCTTCGACTCGGTTTTCTCCTTCCTCATGGGCCGGATCTCCCAGCTCGTGGGCCAGCCGGCCCTCATCTTATTGGGTAATGCCGCTCGTCCACACACACAAGACAAAAATCCCCCATGCAGCCTGTAACACACAGTTGAGGAAAGTGCTGTAGCACCCATGAAGGCCGGAACGGCATACGAAGGGGTTTGGTTTTTTTGCCAACAGCACGCCCGGCCGCCTTTGTCTCTCCAGTGACGATGTTTACTGCAAACTGCACCCGTTGCTCATCTGAGGCTGAGGCGACCTAGGGGAGGCCCAGGTGCCGGGTTAAGGCAATCGTCACTGGTGTTGGCCGTGAGCGGGAATCGAATTCACGCCACCAGGTTCCGAGAGCGGCGCGCTAACCGCTGGACCCACCGCTCCCCAAACACAGACATAGGCACGAGGTGGTGATGATGCCACCACGGCATCAGTGCCAGGAAAGGTGCACTTTGAGGCCACGCGAAATGTCGAAGTGCTCGCTGGGTTCGTAGCGCGCGGCGCTGCTGGACCGCCGCCCTTGTGTAGGCCGCTTAGCGTGCACACAGGGCGCTCGTTTCAAAGGGTTGCTACCTAGGAGGCACAGGCGGGTGACGCGCGAGATGGCTCCGCTTCAAAGTAAGGAGGTGGGTCTACCTATGAGAACCTTGAACAACAACAACAACAACATTGACATTTGCATGGCGCAATTCATCCGGGGATCTCAGTGAGCCGTGCACAAAGTTACGTGCTGCTCGCTAACAGCACTTGCCCCAACAGTCTGTTACGAGGCTATACACGGGGGATCTTCCATTAGCACGGTCGTCTATGTACGGTGCAAAAGAAGTTCAACACACCCACACACGTGTGCCTGCGTGTGCCGTGCCGGGCATCATAGGTAGCTACTACTCGCTAACAGCACTTGCCCCTATAGTCAAGTCAAGGCTACACGGGGGATCTTTGTCTTTGCCGCCCCCGCCCCCAACTCTCCCTATGTCATTGTCGTTGTCGTCGGCAGTCCTTTGGCGTTCTACGTCCATCAGGCTTAGCGGTGGCTTTTGCGACAGCTCTCAGGAATCCAATTCCAGATCCGAATATCCCATGCGCCCTGTCGTCACCCCCACCTCCCCCCCCCCCCCCCCCCCACCCACCCACCCACAGCGTCGCTCACCAACGCCTCCCTGCTCATCACCATGTACGTGTGGATCCCGCGTCCCGACCAGGCGGCCGTGCTCTTCGCGATGGCCGCGCTCTGGGGGGCCGCGGACGCCGTGTGGCAGACGCAGCTCAACGGTGAGGCGGCAGCTAGGGCCCCACTGTGGCCCTTTTCGGACGGCTCGGCCCTGGCCAGGGCGCTGTGCGACAGTCACGTGCCTCCGAACATGGCCGCCGATCTCGGGACACGAGTCCGCCTGCCCTCATCCTTTGAAGCTAGAACAAATCGCGGCACCACCGCGATCCCTCCACTACACCTCCCCCCCCCCCCCCTGCCTCCTCCTCCTCCTCACACGCCCGGGGCCCTCTTTGCTCTCCTCGCAGCGCTCTACGGAGTGCTGTTCGCGGCGAACAAGGAGGCGGCGTTCGCCAACTACCGCCTGTGGGAGTCCCTGGGTTTCGCGGTGGCGTTCGCCTACAGCGGCGCCGCGTGCTTCGCCGCCAAGATGGCCGTCGCGCTCGCCGCCCTCGCCCTGGGCCTGGGCCTCTACGGCGTCGCCGCGACGCGGGGAAAGCGACGGGCCGGCGGGCCGAGCGGAGGGCCGAGCGCCGCTGCGACGGCAACGCCGCCGGCCCCGTCTCCGTCGCAGCGAAAAGAAGAAGAAAAGTAATGGTGGCGTGATGTTTTGGTCGATGTAATGATACGAAAAATAATGATGAAGATTTAAAGTTATGATGAAAATTATATTTTTTTTACAAAATAAAATGTCGAAAACTACGCAATAAAACGAAATAATAAAACAAGATGCGACCCTGGCTATCACAATTGATGGCAGCTCAACGAAGTAGGCTTAGCATCATCATCATCACGTGCAAGTTTATTAGTGGCAGCCAAATAACTTTAAACGCATAAAGAGAGACACAAAGACATATTACTGACGCCCATAGAGATACACAGAGACCCATAGAGACCCATAGAGACACACAGAGACCCATAGAGACACACAGAGACCCATAGAGACACACAGAGACCCATAGAGACACACAGAGACCCATAGACACACACGGACACCCATATAAATACAAAGAGACCCATAGAGACCCATAGAGACACACAGACCCATCGAGATACACAAACACCCATAGAGATACACAGAGACCCATAGAGACCCATAGAGACACACAGAGACCCATAGAGACACACAGATACCCATAGAGACACACAGAGACCCATATAGATACACGGACACCCATAGAGATATGCAGAGACCCATAGAGACACACAGAGACCCATAGAGACACACATAGACCCATAGAGATACACAGACCCATCGAGATATACGAACACCCATATAAATACACAGAGACCCATAGAGACACACAGAGACCCATATAGATACACGGGCACCCATAGAGACACACAGAGACCCATAGAGACACACAGAGACCCATATAGATACACGGGCACCCATAGAGATGCACAGAGACCCATAGAGACCCATATAGACACACATAGACCCATAGAGACACACAGAGACCCATATAGATACACGGGCACCCATAGAGATACACAGAGACCCATAGAGATACAGAGTCCCATCGAGACACGGAGACCCATAATGCTCTAAACGCGCGACGTTGATTCTAAGTGCGGAGGGATAACACCGCTGGACCTTAACAAAAACTACACTCGGTGACCACCACGGGGAGAGAGAGAGAGAGATGCAAACTCCAAAGAAACAGGCGTTAGGGTCGGGATAGAACCAACAAACCTCCTGAATACCAGACGAGGTAGTTAACACCTCCGAGCCACCGTGGACAGCAGTAGTGGACGGGAAGCCACGGGGAGTTGAAGGAGGAGGGGGCGAGGAGGTGTGGGAATTGAGAGGAGCTGGAGCGAGTGAGCACCCCGGCAATTCCCTCGAGCAATCTCCGCATCATCTCTCGTTTCGAGTGGGGTCTCTCACGCACAGCCCGAACAGACCGAGCACGAGGCTTCGCCAGCAATTGCTGGCGAAGCTTCGTGGCAGGCCAGATGTGTGGAGAGAACCTCCTGCCCTTCATTCCTTTAAATAGAGGTGACGGATGCGATGACGTCACTTGCGAGGTCCTTCCTGTGCGAAGTGGGGAGCGATTAATGGCCCGCATTATGCATCGCAGTGGGTATCCGTTACCGGTTGGCTTGTTCGCATGGCAATCGAGGTACATTTTGCATGCACTTCACGCGTGCCCACTGTCCTTGCCCCTCCTGTCGTTAGTTGTGCCACTAAATTGGTCGCGAAAGCCTACGTGTCAAAGCCCCGATCAATGTTTTTTTTCTCCAGCCGATCCCCGTCCTCCTCAACGGTTCCACTTCTGCTTCCCACCTCTTCCCGTTTGAGCCTCTCCTCCAATCCTGTCAAAATCCCCCTTGCCTGCCGACCAATCATCCTGCAGGCCTCTCTGCGCCAATAGGAGGCCTTGGCCTACTTCCTGCAAGTCCACTGGGCTGCACATTTGCTTGGGGTGAGTGCTTCTTATTTTTGGTCATTACACGTGCATTGGCTTTTGAGTGTGTGGTTACGGCCAGTTTCTTAACAACAACAACAACAACAAAAACTACCATCGCAGTGTGTTGCGCCAATAGCGTACAATACAGGGACTCCTCTGCTTATGAACGCGATGGGTTCCAGAGCTCTGCCCGTTAGTCTGGTTTGTTCGTAAGTCCAACTTCACTCCTGTCGATTCGAGTGTACGGCATGTGCATTGAACACGGGGAATGCCTTCAAAATGTGTATGATCTCCTGCAGACGCAGGTGCCACTGATCCCACATGCTCTGCAGATGTCGACGTCACCGCCGCCATCGATCGCGCGGCGGTTCAACTTACGACCCTCGGTGCGAACGGCTGCAACCGGGGAAACGGAGAGGTCTGTTGGTATCTCAGAAGGCTGGAAAGTCGAATGCCCGCAAGTGGAGGACTCCCTGTGCACTGTTGCGCTCAGATTCTCATTCTACTCGGGGAACAGAAGAAATCCCGTGAACGAGCTGTCGCGATAGCCCAGTTGAAAGAACATTCCAAAATAAGCGTCCAGCACCTCAAGCCAGACCTTGTCACCCGCCTTTAGGCTCAGCACTGACCCACCACTCATAGCCGTGGCAAATATGGTAGCCGTGTAGTCATTGCAAAAGTGAACGACCCGCTCGCCGTTCTTCGTCAGCGCCACGCACAGGGGCGTTTGACGGACGTGGGCGTGCATCACGAAGTAGTAGAGGCCCGGGTGAACGCAGGTGAACTTCCCGCTCAGGGGATCGTAGTGGCCCTGATCGTTGCTGACGACGACGTCGAACTTGATGGGCGAGCCCGCGGGGGGATTGGAGGAGGAGATCTTGGCCGTGAAGGCCGACTTGGGGACCGCGGGCTCCCTCCCTCGTCACCCTTCGATCCGCGCGGTCCCGGAGGACCGATGGGGCCCGCTCCGCCGCTGGGACCCAGTTTACCCGGGGCACCTGGAAACAAATGACAGTTGACATTTATTTGTAAGGCACCTTCCACTCATGTCTCAAAGCACAGGAAAGCCGAGTGTTCTGACGTGGAGAGAGAGGGAGAGAGAGAACGTCTGAAGCGAACTGGGTATGCACGCATGTCTGTACGTTGAGCCTACGTAGCCAACCACACTAATTGAAGGTGCGGGCGAAGCACAGTAAACTAAACACAAAAATGCATACTCTTTGGTTCTATTCGGTAAAGTCACATAGGTAAAAAAAGCAAAACAACAGAAATCACGACGTTTCGGCCACAACACAAGCGGCCTTCGTCAGGTGAAGGGGACCGTGCTGTCATGAGGACAGCGTTGGAATCAAGAAAGCTATGTTCTGACCAAACATTAAACTAATTTCAATGGCGCAGCATATTTATCCATGTAGTGAAATACCAAACTTTCACAGCAGCTTATTTCCCTTCAAGACAACGTTTGCATTGTCAAATTCCCCTCCCCCTCCCCCCGTGTTAAGTGTTCTATCAGCACTTCAAGTGTTCCATCAACACTTTATGCTAATTCCTTTGTCAAAGCGTTTGGTTTCCTCCCACACAGCTTAAAGGACGCGACCTGCGCTTGACTTTCTTGATTCCAACGCTGTCTTCGTGACAGCACGGTCCCTTCACCTGATGAAGGCCACTTGTGTTGTGGCCAAAACGTCGTGATTTTTGTTGTTTTATTTTTTTTTTTACCCACGTGACTTTAACGAAGAGAACCAAAGAGTGTGGATCCTTGCAGTCACGAAAGCTTCAAATCTAGAAACAAAGATTCAATTTTAAGGAAATTAGTTCTCAACCGAGACGACCAGCGGCTTCCGAGCATCGGAAGGGAAGCGCGTTCCAGACGGCCGCAAGAACCGGCGGCATCTGAAAGCGCCGCGCGATGACCTCGGCGACCGCCGCCTTCGTCCGATGGCTGAGCCAAAAGCCGCAGCTGCTGCCGATGAGTTCACGTGATAATGGCTTTCGCTCCTTGACGAGATCAGCAGCGAGGTTGCTGTGCATCCTTTGACGACGGGCGCCGCCTTTGACTACGAGCGCCATCTTTGACTACGAGCACCATCTTTGACTACGAGCGCCATCTTTGACTACGGGCGCCACCTTTGACTACAAGCGCCATCTTTGACTACGAGCGCCACCTGTGACTATGAGCGCCACCTTTGACTAAGAGCGCCATCTTTGACTACGTTCGCCATCTTTGACTACAAGCGCCATCTTTGACTACGAGCGCCACCTGTGACTATGAGCGCCACCTTTGACTAAGAGCGCCATCTTTGACTACGAGCACCACCTTTGACTACGTGCACCACCTTTGATGACGAGCGCCATCTTTGACTACGAGCGCCACCTTTGACTACGAGCGCCACCTTTGACTAAGAGCGCCATCTTTGACTACGGGCATCACCTTTGACTACGGGCACCACCTTTGACTACGGGCACCACCTTTGATGACGGGCGCCATCTTTGACTACGAGCGCCATCTTTGACTACGAGTGCCATCTTTGACTAAGAGCGCCATCTTTGACTACGAGCACCATCTTTGACTACGAGCGCCATCTTTGACTACGAGCGCCACCTTTGACTACGAGCACCACCTTTGACTACGAGCGCCATCTTTGACTAAGAGCGCCACCTTTGACTAAGAGCGCCACCTTTGACTACGAGCGCCATCTTTGACTAAGAGCGCCACCTTTCACTACGAGCGCCATCTTTGATGACGAGCACCATCTTTGACTACGAGCGCCATCTTTGATTACGAACGCCACCTTTGACTACGAGCGCCATCTTTGACTACGAACGCCACCTTTGACTACGGGCGCCACCTTTGACTACGAGCACCACCTTTGACTACGAGTGCCATCTTTGACTACGAGCGCTACCTTTGACTACGAGCACCACCTTTGACTACGAGTGCCATCTTTGACTACGAGTGCCATCTTTGACTACGTTCGCCATCTTTGACTACGAGCGCCATCTTTGACTAAGAGCGCCATCTTTGACTACGAGCGCCATCTTTGACTACGAGCACCACCTTTGACTACGAGTGCCATCTTTGACTAAGAGCGCCACCTTTGACTACGAGCGCCATCTTTGACTACGAGCACCATCTTTGACTACGAGCGCCATCTTTGACTACGAGCGCCACCTTTGACTACGAACGCCACCTTTGACTACGAGCGCCATCTTTGACTACGAGCACCATCTTTGACTAAGAGCGCCATCTTTGACTACGAGCGCCATCTTTGACTACGAGCGCCATCTTTGACTACGAGCGCCATCTTTGACTACGAGCGCCATCCTTTGACTACGACCGCCATCTTTGACTACGAGCGCCATCTTTGATGACGAGCGCCATCTTTGACTAAGAGCGCCATCTTTGACTACGAGCGCCATCTTTGACTACGAGCGCCATCTTTGACTACGAGCGCCACCTTTGACTACGAGCGCCACCTTTGACTACGAGCGCCATCTTTGACTACGAGCGCCACCTTTGACTACGAGCGCCAACTTTGACTAAGAGCGCCATCTTTGACTACGAGCGCCATCTTTGACTACGAGCGCCACCTTTGACTACGGGCGCCATCTTTGATGACGAGCGCCATCTTTGACTAAGAGCGCCATCTTTGACTACGAGCGCCGCCTTTAACTACGAGCGCCATCTTTGACTACGAGCACCACCTTTGACTACGAGCGCCATCTTTGACTAAGAGCGCCATCTTTGACTACGAGCGCCATCTTTGACTACGAGCGCCGCCTTTGACTACGAGCGCCGCCTTTGACTACGAGCGCCGCCTTTGACTACGAGTGCCATCTTTGACTATGAGCGCCACCTTTGACTACAGGCGCCACCTTTGACTACGGGCGCCACCTTTGACTATGAGCGCCACCTGTGACTATGAGCGCCACCTTTGACTACGAGCGCCATCTTTGACTACGAGCGCCATCTTTGACTACGAGCGCCACCTTTGACTAAGAGCGCCATCTTTGACTACGAGCGCCATCTTTGACTACGAGCACCGCCTTTGACTAAGAGCGCCACCTTTGACGACGGGCGCCATCTTTGACTATGAGCGCCACCTGTGACTATGAGCGCCATCTTTGACTACGAACGCCATCTTTGACTACGAGCGCCATCTTTGACTACGAGCGCCACCTGTGACTACGAGCGCCACCTTTGACTAAGAGCGCCATCTTTGACTAAGAGCGCCATCTTTGACTAAGAGCACCACCTTTGACTACGAGCGCCACCTGTGACTATGAGCGCCACCTGTGACTACGAGCGCCACCTTTGACTACGAGCGCCATCTTTGACTAAGAGCGCCACCTTTGACTACGTTCGCCATCTTTGACTACGAACGCCACCTTTGACTACGGGCACCACCTTTGATGACGCGCGCCATCTTTGACTACGAGCGCCACCTTTGACTACGAGCGCCATCTTTGACTACGAGCGCCACCTTTGACTACGAGCGCCATCTTTGATGACGACCGCCACCATTTGTCCCGAAGGCTCCTCCCGCGTCTTGCCATGGTCACGTGCGCCGAAGCGTCCTGCCACCCCGGCCGCTACCACGCGGGGGCCCGTTGTTATTTTGTCAGATGCGTTGAGCCGATTAATGACGAACGTGAGTTCCGCTATTATTATTATTATCAATATTATTATCATACCGTTCACGTGGGGAGAAGGGAGGCGGGGAGATAGCGTGTCACTCCGATCCTCTCTTCTTGGTGGTTGGAGGCAGTCGCCCCCCAGCAACAACAACGGGGGGCGGAGGAGCGGTCGCTCACGACAACGAGCGGAGCGCCGGGGGCGGCTGAGACGCAGGGAGCTGCTGCCGCCGGTGGCGCATCTACCTGGTGATCTCGGTGAGCCAACCCATGGCACCTGCTGGGGGTCTGTCCCGAGACCTCCTCCTGTCAGCAGCGAGCCTCCGACACTTCACGTGGGGCACCCGGCCTGGCACTGACGCCGTGGTGATGTCACCGTCGTATTTGGTGGCAATTGGCGGGTTGTATTGCATAGCGGTCGTGAGTGATAAGGGGCAGCTACTTCGATGGCAAGGGTGGTTGGTAGAGGGTGCGTGGGTGAAGGAGGGGGCGGTGGTGGGAGAAGGCAGCTCCACAATTTGCGGACAGCGGAGGAGCAATGGGCGTCTCGCGACCACCGTGGTTCCCCAGGCTCACCTTTGTCGCCCGCGGCTCCTTTGCTCCCGGGAATTCCGGGCTCACCCTTGGATCCGGTCACTCCTGGGTCCACAGAGGCGCGCACGGATTGGGATCGGTTCACGGGTTACAACAACAACAATAAGAACAAACGGGGGTGGGTGGGTGGGGGAGGAGTGGGGGGGGGGGGTCCTCCATGAATTCATCACCATCACTACCACCATCACCACCACCGTCGTCGTCGTCAAATCATCATCAAAGGGAATCAAAATAACACGTTGCTCTTTACAATGTGTTATTTATTGTCGTTATTGTTATTAAACATTTACCATTTCACACCACCCCCCCCTCCCACCTCTATGCCCCCCGCCCCAGCCCCTCCCCCCCATATTGGTCCCATTGGAGCGAAGTTTCTGCGCTCGCGAGCGCTTTCAAGAACGTGACCCTCGTGCATAGAGAAGGAGAGAGGCCTTCGCTGCTTTACATTTGATGCTATGACGTCGAAGCCCGCGGGGGGGTGGGGGAAGGGTGGTGGGGGGAGGTGGAGGTGCCCCCCCCCTCCCCAAAAGCGCGTGTGGGCAGGGCCTAGGGCAGCCGCCCGAATTTGCCGCGTACCCTGGGCAGCAGCGGTCCCCAGCCGCCCGAATTCGCCGCGTACCCTAGGGCAGCAGCGGTCCCCAGCCGCCCCGAATTCGCCGCGTACCCTGGGGCAGCAGCGGTCCCCAGCCGCCCCGAATTCGCCGCGTACCCTGGGGCAGCAGCGGTCCCCAGCCGCCCCGAATTCGCCGCGTACCCTGGGGCAGCAGCGGTCCCCAGCCGCCCGAATTCGCCGCGTACCCTAGGGCAGCAGCGGTCCCCAGCCGCCCGAATTCGCCGCGTACCCTAGGGCAGCAGCGGTCCCCAGCCTCCCCGAATTCGCCGCATACCCTAGGGCAGCAGCGGTCCCCAGCCACCCCGAATTCGCCGTGTACCCTAGGGCAGCAGCGGTCCCCAGCCGCCCCGAATTCGCCGCGTACCCTGGGGCAGCAGCGGTCCCCAGCCGCCCGAATTCGCCGCGTACCCTAGGGCAGCAGCGGTCCCCAGCCGCCCCGAATTCGCCGCGTACCCTAGGGCAGCAGCGGTCCCCAGCCGCCCGAATTCGCCGCGTACCCTGGGGCATCAGCGGTCCCCAGCCGCCCGAATTCGCCGCGTACCCTAGGGCAGCAGCGGTCCCCAACCTTTTTGGCACCAGGGACCGGTGTCGTGGGAGACAATTTTTTTTCACGGACCGGCGGTGTGTGTGTGTGTGTGTGGGGGGGGTTCATCTTTGGAGTCTTTCTACCTTTTCAAAGAAGCTCTCCGGCGACGTTTTTTGTCCGTTACTCATTGTGGCTACTAGGGGGTTAGAGCTCGTGGGCAACACCACGTGACTGAGACGAGTGCGCAGTGCGGGGAAGAGGCGCGGACGGAAGCGGTAAATGATAAAATAATTTTGGGGGCGGGTCCACGTGATCGGACTCGCCGCTCAGCACCACCACCACCTCCTGCTGCTGTGCGGCCCGGTTCCTAACAGGCCACGGACCGGTAGCTGTAGCGGACCGGGGGTCGGTGACCCCTGCCCTAAGGGATGGCTCTCTAGGGGTTTGTGTGTGGGCCACTGGGTTGGGGGGTTGTGGGATTGTTGGGTTGGTAGGGGGGTGGGGGGAAGGGCCGGAGAAGGGGGTCACCTTTCTCTCCGTCCCGGCCGTCCCTGCCGGGAGCGCCGTGGTGCCCTGGGATTCCCGGAATCCCGGCGACGCACGACCCCGGCGGCTCCGGGGTGCGCGACCCGCCGGATTCTGCCAGCGCGACGACAAGAAGCGACGCCAGCAGCGGGCACAGGCGGAGGAACATCGCCAACATCGCTCCTCCCGCTCGTTCTGAAGCGACACGAACAGTGGGCCACAGGTGGAACAACATCGCCAACATCGCTCCTCCCGCTCGTTCTGAAGCGACACGAACAGTGGGCCACAGGTGGAACAACATCGCCAACATCGCTCCTCCCACTCGTTCTGAAGCGACACTAACAGTGGCCACAGGTGGAACAACATCGCCAACATCGCTCCTCCCCCTCGTTCTGAAGCGACACTAACAGTGGGCCACAGGTGGAACAGCATCGCCAACATCGCTCCTCCCGCTCGTTCTGAAGCGACACGAACAGTGGCCACAGGTGGAACAACATCACCAACATCGTTGTTCTGAACCGACACTAACAGTGGCCACAGGTGGAACAACATCGCCAACATCGCTCCACCCGCTCGTTCTGAAGCGACACTAACAGTGGCCACAGGTGGAACAACATCACCAACATCGTTCCTCCCCTTGTTCTGAAGCGACACGAGGATTATGTTGATGATGATGAAGATGATGATGATGACGCCGATGACGATGATGACGATGATGATGATAATGACGATGATGACGATGACGACAATGACGACGATGATGATGACGACGATGATGACGATGATGATGACGATGATAACGATGACGACGATGACAATGACATCGATGACGATGATGACGACGATGATGACGATGATGATAATGACGATGATGCCGATGACAATGACGATGACGATGATGACGATGATGATGACGACGATGATGACGACGATGACGATGATGATGATGCCGATGACAATGATGACGATGATGATGACGATGATGACGACGATGATGACGATGATGACGATGATGACGATGGGCCCACTTCGTTGCGCTATAATTTGCGATACTGACCGTGTACCTCGTATTTTTTCACTCTGTCTATGCTGGTATGTGCAATCCAGAGGTTGAACACGAAATTTAACACTCTTCTGAAATTCGTGGTCCGCCAGGAAGTGTCTAACTGTGTTGTTGGTCTGACTGGATGAGCTTCACATAATGTTTTTTTCAGGTTTGTTGAATTCTCATCTCTCATCTTTTTGTTGTTATTTACCTCCACGATTTGTTCTTGACACCTGATGAAGATCGCTTGCATTGTGATCGAAACGTCGTGATTGTTTTTTTGTTTTAATATAATTTTATTGTATTTCTACATACGTGACTTTACCGAAAAAAACCAATGAGTAATTTTATGCAGTCACGAAAGCTTTAATACTTTAATAATTTGTGATAGCCAAGTTGCTTCTGAATAAACAGGAAGCGAGCTTCGTTTGTTTTGTATATTTATTGTTCGAGCGCTTTGTTTACCGTTCCTATCCATGGCACTCCTATCGTGTCACTGTGTTTGTGTCTTTGTTGTTGCAACGTTCCGATTCCCGTGCACCCCCCCACCCCCCTTCCCCTTTACTGGGACATCTGATTATTGATGTTGTTATTCTTCTTTGGTTCTTTCGGTAAAGTCACGTAGAATGAGAATAAAATAATAAATTGATAAAATAAAATAACGCAATCATATTCTCACGACGTTTCGGCCACAACACAAGCGGCCTTCATCAGGTGAAGGGACGAGACTGTCTGGAGGACAGCGCTGGAGTGAGAAAGCCACGCTGAGATCACGACCTTTAAGCTGTGTGAGAAGAAACAAAGCGCCTTGACAAAGGAATTAGCATAGAATTTAGCATTGAAATGGCTGAGTGATTAGCTTGTGACTGGTCACAGAAATGGCTATGTTAAAGTTAAAGCAAACACATCCGCAGAGGCACCCCTTGACAAAGGAATTAGCATAGAATTTAGCAATGAAATAGCTAAGTTAAAGCATACACATCCGCAGAGGCACCCCTTGACAAAGGAATTAGCATAGAATTTAGCATTGAAATAGCTGAGTGATTAGCTTGTAACTGGTCACAGAAATAGCTATGTTAAAGTCAGAGCATACACATTCACAGAGGCACCACGTGCAAATCAAACAGGAGAATTTAGCATTGAAACAACTAGGCGAATTTAGTATTGAAATAACTGAGTGATTAGCTTGTGACTGGTCACAGAAATGGCTATGTTGAAGTCAAGGCCTACACATCTGAGCTATTCACAGTAACTGGGTATACACTACAATATATAATGAATACTACATAGTGAACCAATAAAAAACTAAAATATAAATTACCTCAATGTTATCAATAAACTCTATATATTCTCCAATAAGCTAAGCTACCAACAATAAGTCGTTGTATATCACAATGCTATATGGCGAAAAAATGGGTGGATTCTTACCCTCAAATTTAAATTCGCCTAGTTATTACAATGCTAAATTCTCCTGTTTGATTTGTACGAGGTGCCTCTGTGAATGTATATGCTCTGACTTTAACATAGCTATTTCTGTGACCAGTTACAAGCTAATCACTCAGCTATTTCAATGCTAAATTCTATGCTAATTCCTTTGTCAAGGGGTGCCTCTGCGGATGTGTATGCTTTAACTTTAACATAGCACTTTCTGTGACCAGTCACAAGCTAATCACTCAGCCATTTCAATGCTAAATTATATGCTAATTCCTTTGTCAAGGCGCTTTGTTTCTTCTCACACAGCTTAAGGGTCGCGATCTGAGCGTGGCTTTTTCACTCCAGCGCTGTCCTCCAGACAGTCTCGTCCCTTCACCTGATGAAGGCCGCTTGTGTTGTGGCCGAAACGTCGTGAGAATATTATTGCGTTATTTTATTTTATCAATTTATTATTTTATTCTCATTCTACGTGGTGGTGACTTTACCGAAAGAACCAAAGAAGATGAATCCTTGCAGTCACGAAAGCTTTAAATCGAGATGTTGTTGTTGATGTTGCTGTTGCGATGTTACCTTTAACGGGAAAACCGGGGCAGTCGTAAAGCAGCCGCGGGACGGAGCCCTCCGAGCCGCTGTTTCTGTTCCGCCGTCGGAGATTCCTTTGCAACTCCGGCAAAAGAGCCTCGGTTTCGGAGTCCGATTTTTACCTGGAGAATTTATTAACCCGGCCCTTGCCCTCTCCTCCTCCTTCTCCTTCTACAACAGCAACAGAACAAACAAACAACCAAACTGGATGGGTCTCGCGAAGGGCGTTCTATGGGCACGCCATCCGCCACGCCAAGGTCGCTGTCCCCTTCGACCTGAGCGCGTGTTCGTGGCACGCGTTGGCACAGACGCATTGAGCGGTGCGGCGGCCGCGCTTAATGATCCGTGACGGGCGCACGAGAGGAGACCCCCAACAACAACAAAAACCATCAACACCACACGATGTTACGGGGCGGGTTTGGAGAAATCCGACGTTAAAAAAAATATTTTAAAAAATCACCAAGCCACTGGGAATCTTTGAACCTCCAGAGAAATTGTTTCTCGTGCGCGTGTGTGAGTGTCTGTGTGTGTGTGTGTGTCTTTGTGTGTACAGTGGGGGAAAAAAAGTATTTGATCCCCTGGCTGATTTTGTATGTTTTGCCCACTGACAAAGAAATGATCAGTCTATAATTTTAATGGTAGGTTTATTTGAACCGTGAGAGAGGCAGAATAACAACAACAAAATCCAGAAAAACGCATGTCAAAATTTTTATAAATTGATTTGCATTCTAATTAGGGAAATAAGTATTTGACCCCCTCTCAATCAGAACGTTTTCTGGCTCCCAGGTGTCTTTTGTACAGGTAACGAGCTGAGATTAGGAGCACACTCTTAAAGGGAGTGCTCTTAATCTCAGCTTGTTACCTATATAAAAGACACCTGTCCACAAAAGTAATCATTCAATCAGATTCCAAACTCTCCACCATGGCCAAGACCAAAGAGCTCTCCAAGGATGTCAGGGACAAGATTGTAGACCTACACAAGGCTGGAATGGGCTACAAGACCATTGCCAAGCAGCTTGGTGAGAAGGTGACAACAGTTGGTGCAATTATTCGCAAATGGAAGAAACACAGAAGAACTGTCAATCTCCCTCGGCCTGGGGCTCCATGCAAGATCTCACCTCGTGGAGTTGCAATGATCATGAGAATTGTGAGGAATCAGCCCAGAACTACACGGGAGGATCTTGTCAATGATCTCAAGGCAGCTGGGACCATAGTCACCAAGAAAACAATTGGTAACACACTACGCCGTGAAGGACTGAAATCCTGCAGCGCCCGCAAGGTCCCCCTGCTCAAGAAAGCACATATACATGCTCGTCTGAAATTTGCCAATGAACATCTGAATGATTCAGAGGACAACTGGGTGAAATGTTGTGGTCAGATGAGACGAAAATGGAGCTCTTTGGCATCAAATCAACTCGCCGTGTTTGGAGGAGGAGGAATGCTGCCTATGACCCCAAGAACACCATCTCCACCGGCAAATATGGAGGTGGAAACATTATGCTTTGGGGGTGTTTTTCTGCTAAGGGGACAGGACAACTTCACCGCATCAAAGGGACGATGGACGGGGCCATGTACCGTCAATTCTTAGGTGAGAATCTCCTTCCCTCAGCCAGGGCATTGAAAATGGGTCGTGGATGGGTATTACAACATGACAATGACCCAAAACACACGGCCAAAGCAACAAAGGAGTGGCTCAAGAAGAAGCACATTAAGGTCTTGGAGTGGCCTAGCCAGTCTCCAGACCTTAATTCCATAGAAAATCTGTGGAGGGAGCTGAAGGTTCGAGTTGCCAAACGTCAGCCTCGAAACCTTAATGACTTGGAGAAGATCTACAAAGAGGAGTGGTACAAAATCCCTCCTGAGATGTGTGCAAACCTGGTGGTCAACTACAAGAAACGTCTGACCTCTGTGATTGCCAACAAGGGTTCTGCCACAGAGTACTAAGTCATGTTTTGCAGAGGGATCAAATACTTATTTCCCTCATTAAAATGCAAATCCATTTATAACATTTGACATGCGTTTTTCTGGATTTTGTTGTTGTTATTCTGTCTCTCACTGTTCAAATAAACCTACCATTAAAATTATAGACTCATCATTTATTTGTCAGTGGGCAAACGTACAAAATCAGCAGGTGGTCAAATACTTTTTTCCCTCACTGTATCTGTGTGTGAGTGTCTGCGTGTGAGTGTCTGTGTTCTTCGTGCTTTCGGAGTCCCTGACCTCCTGCTCACGATCATTAAGGACCTTCATGATGGTGAGCGGGCCCGAGTAAAACTACGTGGCCGGGAGTCAGAGCCATTCCCTGTACACCTTGGGGTGCGACAGGGATGTCCTCTGGCTCCCACATTATTTAAGATCTATTTTGACCACGTAGTTCAT